AACAAGGCAGACTTTTTCAACTTTCTCCCAATCTTCCACAGTCGGACAACTTTCAGGTTGTATTTCATCATCAAAAAAGCGTGGAAAGACTTCTTTGAACATCAATGCACATTTCAACATCTCATAAGTTGAATTCCATCTTGTCTTACAGTCATGAAACAACCTTCTTCCGGGCAGCTTCAATTGTTGAGCAATGTTTGAAAATGCAATCAATCTTTTATCCGTTCTTCTCACATAATCAACACAAATCCTTATCTTCTCAATGATGGAAGTAATTTGATCAAGTCCATCCTGAACCATAAGATTTAAAATGTGTGCACAATACCTCACATGGAACAATTTTCCTTCGCAAAATAACTTTTGAGATCTTGAACAACTGTCCTTCTAAATAGAAACTGCTTCAGCATTGTTCTTTGCATTATCAACTGAAATAGAATGAATTTTGTCTTCAATTCCCCACTCTTTCAAGCATTTAAAGATAGCTGCAGCAATCTCTTGACCTCTTTGTGGTGGAGGAATATGGACAAAGTTTAAAACTCTTTCTGTAACTTCCAAGAAGAATCAATCCAATGCCCCGTAATAACCATGTATTCAATTTTTTGATTTTTAGACTTCCACAAGTCTGTCGTCAAACTTACCTTGCGAACATTTTTCAACAAACTCTTTAGTTTTTTCCTTTCCTGCTCATAAACAATCCCACAAAGTTCTTTAATCGCTTGCCTTGAAATTGGTCTCCACTCAGGCATCCCAATCTTTTGCATCAAATTGAATCCCTCATCCTCAACTATACTAAAAGGGTGCTCACGCATAAGAATCCAATGAGCAGCAAGCTGTCGCATTTTCGCTATATCAAAACCCCCGGAGTGCAAAATTGGTTGGGAGCATAAAGGAGCATCAGCGGGCTGCAAATTAAGCAAAGTTTGTTGCGCCTTCCTTTTATTTGCCTTTCTAAATGCACATGTCTCGAGATGCCTCTTAAGACTTGTTGTACTTCCACTGTCCACCATTTTAAGGGGATTTTTTGCAATACATACATACTGCCTTATTAACCCCATCTATCTCTTTCAAAAGAAATTCTAGCCAAACGACAGAAGTCCTTTTTCTTTTGTTACTTCTAAACTCTTCAAGATCATTAACTTCTCCATCTTTTTGTTCTTGCGGTCTTTTTCGACTTCTTATTGTTGATCAAGATTTTCATCACATACCAATTCACCATCTTCAACGTCCAAATCATTTATTTCAATGGTGCAGTCTGTTCCAAAATTGATAGGATCTGGTCAGAGACTCAGAGTTAAAAACAAGCTAACTATTTGAAAAACTATTTACTTTTACCCAAATTAATAAAGAAAAACTTAAAATCAAATCATCACTGATCACTTCTCATAAAAGAAAGCACCATACTTTAAGGAATTTTAATTCCACTATCACATATAAGCCATCTTTAATTAGACGTAAGAAACCTAACAAGATAAACTTAATAAGATATTACAAAACTAATTCTCCATGACTAAAATATAAATAATAAATCATAAACTTGATTAAAACTCCAAAAACTCACAATACAACTAATATGTAAGCAGCTCACACAGATAAAAGTTCACCATGCAAGCTCAAAAATAGGTACTAAAAAAGAACAAAAATTCCGATTTAGCATACTGTCACCAAAATGAAACGAAAATAACTACGGGCCAAAAATTCTATCTTTGGCCTCCAAAGTACCATCGAATCAGAAAGGAAGAAACAATGGCCAAAATCATGAAATTTAACCTCAGAAGTTCAGCACACTTCAACAAGGATTATTAGAAGAGGAAAATCAAATTAAATTTTCCACATACCTTCTAAGACATCACCACTAGGGTTTGAGGTTTCATCCATCTTTAAACCATAAGTCAACACCAAATTAGGGGTATGGCCGCATGAGGATTGATTAACATGGAAAAAAAAAGTGAGATTGAAATTTGAAGGTAAATACTATGAATCGAAGAAAGGAGAGGAGTTGAAAATTTAAAGTGAAAGGGAGAGAAGTTTAATAAGAAGTACGGGGGAGCTGAAAAGTAGATCTGAATTTGATATACCTTTTCTAATTAGAAAGTAGAAAAAATCTGGTCCACCAAAAATAATATTACATATAAAACATTAAATAATATATATTTTTAATATGTTTAAATATTAACAAGTCGAGTAGCTCATCGAGTTTTCGAGTACAAGATTTAATACTCGAACTCGGCTCGATTATTAAATGATACTACTCGAGCTCGACTCGAATTCGGTCAAACTCGAGCCGAGATCGATCCGTTGACCGAGCTACTCGTGAGTACTCGAACTCGGCTCGGTTCGTTTAACAGCCCTATCTACAACAGCCCTATCTACAACAGCCATTCTTCCATCCTCATCATGTGGCCTTCCTCACTAATATCTCAAAGATTCCAGAACCTCATTCATTTGAACAGGCTAATCAGCATGCAGAATGGAAGAAAACTATGAAAGAAGAACTTGATGCTTTGGAACATAACACTTGGGAGCTCACTGCTTTACCACCTGACAAGAAAGCAATAGGTTGTAAATGGGTTTTTAAGGTTAAATATCATCCTGATGGGACTGTGGATAAGCATAAAACAAGACTAGTGGCTAAGGATTACACACAAATTGAAGGAGAAGATTTCTGTGAATCCTTTTCACCAGTTGCTAAGTTGGTGACTGTCAGGATGGTTATTGCTCTTACAACAGCCAAAGGGTGGCCACTTCACCAGTTAGACATCAACAACGTCTTCCTCCATGGATACTTGGAAGAGCAAGTGTACATGAAGCCACCTCCTGGATACTCCAAAGCTAGTTCAACTCAAGTCTGCAAGCTGACAAGGTCTTTGTATGGCCTGAAACAGGCATTAAGGCAGTAGAATCATTAATTTACCAAGCATCTTGGTCTCCATCACTTTCATCAGTCCACATATGATCACTACCTTTTCTACATGACTGTTGATCCTCACTTCATTGTTCTTTTAGTCTATGTAGATGATATCTTGCTCACCAGTTCTTCTGAGGATCTTATTCAGGATACCAAGTAATTCTACATGCTCTTTTCACCATTAAAGACCTTGGCCCTGCCAAGAACTTCTTAGGTGTTGAAATTGCTAGGAATTCCTCAGGGATCACTCTCAACCAGAGAAAATATGCACTGGACATTATTTCCAGTGTTGGTCTTCTTAATGGTAATCCAGTCACACACTCCACTACCAACTGGGATGAATCTGCAAGATGATAAGTCCTTTTGATGATGATCCAGCTCAATATCCTTGGTTGATTGGCAGGCTGCTCTATCTTTGTTTCACACGACCAGATCTTACTCATGCCACACAACAACTCAGCTAGTTTGTCTATTCTCCACGAGACATTCTCTGGAAGGCTGGCATTCATGTTGTCAGGTATCTGAAACTGTCTCCTTTCTTAGGCCTGTTCTACTCAGCTCAGAATGATCTGCAACTCAAGGCCTTCTTTGATGCTGATTGGGGACAGTGTTCAAACACTCGTTTCTCCATCACTGGCTTCTGTATCTTCCTTGGAAACTCCCTTGTTTCCCGGAAAACAAAGAAGCAAACAACGGTTTCTCGATCTTTGTGTGAGGCTGAATACCGAAGCATAGTGTCTACTGTTTGTGAACTCTTACGGCTTCATTACATTCTTAGTAATCTTCAAGTTTCCATCTCCCTTCCAATTCTTTTTGCTTGTGACAATCAGGCCGCAATTCACATAGCTGAAAACCCTACATTCCATGAACACACCAAGCATTTGGATATCGATTGCCATGTAGTTCGCAATCAATTCAAACTTGGTTTCATTCAACCATATCATAGTGGAACTGCTTCCCAACCAGCTGATCTCTTCTTTAAGGTTCTTCCAGGTCCAAAATGCACTTATCTATTGCCCAAGCTGAGCCTTCGAGATGTTCATCATCCTCGACCTCAGTTTGAGGGGGGATCTACGAATTGATGCCTCAACTGAAAGACGTTACCTGGATGATCAAATCATGAGGCAGATACTTGGAATAACGTGAAATGTTTCCGTAAATACTTAAGGGTAGTATAGTCATAACACATATTGTATATAGCTTGACAGAGTTGTACATGAAACTTCGTTAGTTGTGCTTACGTAGTAGAATTACAAATTAGTCCCTCTATAAATGAGTATTAATTATGTTGGTTAGGTATTACTATAAATAGGGATTTTGTAAAGACCAATTAATGACGATTTTACAGTTTTAATCAAGATTAATAACTTCGAGAATATCCTCTCTCTGTTAACCGACTTAAACTTCAAACCCTTCCATGTCGGATCTTGAATTTTTCAACTTCAGCTATTTTTAAATTCCTTCAGTTTTTTTTAATTCTACTATCTCTCATTGTTTTTTTCTTTTTCCCTTTTTTACTTTTACTTATTTTTCAATTCAATTACTTTGATTCATTCATACTTTTTTTACGCTTTTATTATCATCTTTGCATACATATTTACTTTTCTAACATATCTCATTATTGAATTTAACCCATTAATTCGTTCTTTATTTTTTACTAGACATGATGATGATAGAAAACGTAATTAATTTACTATTACCCCAATTACTTTTACCACAAAAGAACACGCCATTGCGGTAAATCCCAAACTCCTCACTCTTGACCCATTCTTTCTAAGTTAATCAAAACAATATAAAATAAAAATGTTAGTGTAACTTGCAACGGCCAAGAAGGAGCCAGCATTAATTTGACAATACTAATAATAAATAAAATTGATAATAATAATAATAATATAATTAAAACATAATGACACAGATTTTCTCCCATTTCACATAACTCAGAGAGATGTAGGACATTCCGATCACCATCATCATCATCCGTCAAAACTCGGAATATTCTCAATGATCAGACGGCTAGATTTGATCCTGTCCCCACACGCGTCTCGCGATTACGCAAAAACCAGTGTGATCAACTACAGCATAGGTCTTCCCATCGGAATTATTTTAATAATATTTTTGGAAATCAAATAAAAAAAAAGAAAAAAGAAAAATAGTAGTCTAGCAAAGACGAAGACCAGTCGAAGAAGAAGAGCTTAGATAGAGATAGAGATAGAGTGAGAGAGAGAGACAGTGTTCTTCTTTCCTTTCTTTCTCTCTCTTACCCTTTCCGTCATAAATAAATAAATAATATTATTTCCATTTCATTTCATTTATATTTATTTATTATCGGCTTTTTCTTTCTTTCTCTCTCTCTCTCTCTCTCTCTGTTTCTTTCTCTTACTGTGTGACTGTGTGAAAAATCTGTGAATGTTAGAAAAGTCTTTTCTTTTTCATTTTTTTCATCTCTTCTTCTTCTCGTGAGACGACGTCGTAGTTTCCGCGTTACGGTGGTGAAAGTGAGGGAAAGGAAGAGAGCTCCGGCGAAGCGGTGGAAGTTGAAGACGGCCAAAAACGTACGGCTGGCGGGCTGCTTTTTCTAGTCTTTGGGCGGTGCGCGGTGGTGGTGGGTCTTCTTTTATTTACTCTTTATTTTTTCTTTCCGGTCTACGATTACAGGGGTAAAAGTGGAAAACTTCATTTCAACTCCACAATCGCTGAATCGATCCCGAATTCGTCGCCGGTACTGAGGTCAAGCCGTGTCGATCGAGGTGGGTTTTGGTGCTTTTTTGGTTCTGATTTTCGGTTTGGATCACTTCAATCACTCCCAATTTGCTGCCTGTTTTGTGGTCCGAGGTTTCTCCCCCTTTCCTTAAAAGAAAGAAAGCTTTTTGAGATGGAAATTTGGGAGTTTTGTTGGGAATTTTGGAAAAAATTTTATTGCGTTTCCAAATTTTTTTTGGTAATAACTTTATTTAACTGAAATTTGGTCTTGTTGGTCTCTATTTTGACTTTGAAAAAAGATAAGGGCTTCTTAACTTCTTGATGATGATTAGCTGTAGTGGGAATTTATGACTTTGCTGTTCTTTGGAAGATTTTATAGCTTCAAAAATGGTCTTATTCTAATCAACAGCAAATCTTTAGTTGACGAAGTCCAAAATCAATTCCAAGTGTCTGCAATTTTGCTTGGTTGCTTTTTATTTTCAGAAGTTTAAGCGGATGTTTATGCTAATACCAGCTTGACTAATCCTAGTTCCGCATATTATTGAATTGTTCAGCAGATAGAAATCTTGAGCTAGGAATTCCTCATGCAGAAGAAGTAAAGGTTGTGAACTCTGCTAGGTGTGTTTTTTGGTTTGAGGTGATTTTTGAAGGTAACTATGTTGGAGGCTCCGAAATTTCCGGGAATCATAGGTCTAAATAATAACCATGATGATTATGGGCTCTCGCAAAATTTTTACCATAAGCTCAATGAGGGCTCAAACATGTCAATTGACAGCTATGGGAGCTTGCAGATGAGCAATGGTGGAGGATCCGTTGCCATGTCAATGGATAACAGCAGTGTAGGATCTAATGATTCTCACACTCGTATTTTAAATCATCAAGGCCTGAAGCGGGTGAAGAACAACTACTCCACTGCAGGTAGTGTCAATCGTGGGAGGGTTTCTCATGGATTGAGTGGTGATGCGTTGGCTCAGGCTCTGATGGACCCTCGGTTTCCAACTGAAGGGCTTGGGGATTATGATGAGTGGACCATTGATTTAAGAAAGCTTAACATGGGGGCTGCATTTGCCCAAGGAGCATTTGGAAAGCTCTATAAGGGGACTTATAATGGCGAGGATGTTGCTATCAAGCTTTTGGAGAGGCCTGAGAATGATCTTGAGAGGGCTCATTTGATGGAGCAACAGTTTCAGCAGGAGGTAATGATGCTGGCGAGGTTGAAGCACCCGAACATTGTTCGTTTCATTGGGGCATGTCGTAAACCTATGGTGTGGTGTATTGTAACGGAGTATGCCAAAGGAGGGTCCGTACGACAATTTTTGACCAAAAGGCAGAATAGATCTGTTCCCTTGAAGTTGGCAGTAAAGCAGGCCTTGGATGTGGCAAGGGGAATGGAATATGTGCATGCCCTGAACCTTATTCACCGTGACCTCAAATCTGACAATCTTCTCATCGCTGCCGATAAATCCATTAAGATTGCTGATTTTGGTGTAGCTCGTATCGAGGTGCAGACTGAAGGCATGACGCCAGAGACCGGGACATACCGCTGGATGGCACCGTGAGTTACTGTCTTAGTTAGTTTTCATTATATCCCGTGTCTTTTGTGAATGATTTTGTTTGCATTTGGACAAATTGCTTGTTTTAGGAGATTAAATTAATGCTCGATTGCATGATTGGGATGCATTTAATTGAAATAAATAGTGAAAGTATGGGGTTGAAGTGAGTCATTTCTGCCACGGAGTGTGTGTTTTGCATAATGTAGAAGCAGGTGGGTGAGAGTAGAAAGAGTACTAAGGAAAAGAAAACATGTAGAAGAATTTTCTAGTTCACGTGATTGTGAAATACTACTTCCAGAGTCGTCTTCATAAAGGTGCAGCTCCACTTGTTACTATTTCTGGTGCTTGGTTATCTTTCGGGTAAGGGCGTGAAGATATAGAAAGTCTACATAAATGATCACTGACATGTGCTAATGGCCACAATCTGCTGAGACTGAGTTAAGTTGCTTTAGTTTAAAAATATCCTCAACAAAGATTAATTTGCCTTTGATTTTTGAAATTATATTTTTTTGTGGGTAGATGGCGAGATGTGATCAGTATATCCTATTAACAGCTGGATAGAGGCCTAATTGTTTATCTTATTGTCATGTGGATAGATTGTGAGTTAGAAGCATAATAGTGAAATGGTACTGGAGCTTCAATGCTCTTTGATGAAGGCTGTCATGTATCATCTTGACTTTATTGGTCGAGGTTGGACCCATCTAGATAGAAATTTGCAGTTTCTGCATGTAGTTCCCTATATTCCAAATTTGTATAGATTTTCCTTCCAAAAACTAGCCATCTGACGTGAAGATTAGATATTTCATTCACCTACATCCAAATCTCTATATGGTATCTCCCTGGTCTTTTGCGGTGCCCTTTTGGCTACTATTTGTGCTGGACCTGTATTTCTAGCAGACTGCTAGTGAAGTTTTCAGAAACTTATGAGATATCAGAAGCAGAGTTTTGAGTGAAAAAAAGGGCTTTATGAATGCATGTTAATTGGAATTGAGGTTGAGTCAATTCTCAATCCAAGCTGATAGGTTCTTGGACTAAAATCCCTAGGAGCAAACTTTACCTTTCACACTGACTGGTAGTTTCATGTTGATGTCTTCATGTGAGTTGGTTCTCATCCAATTTTGGAAAGGGCTTAGAGAGAATCATTCTATAGAGTTTGATTCGCAAAGAGCCAGTGAGAATTGTGCTTATAGGCAATTTACTAAGACATAAGACTGATGCAATATACTTAGGAAAGAAGATCTCTGCTTGTTACTGCTGCTTGCTTATAATGTGTACTTAATTTTTGCCTATGGTCATTTGGGGGACAAACTGATTAATGTTTTGATTCTATCTCTACTCTACTCTTTGGCATAAACTGTGCCCGGCATAGATGTTACTTATATGGAATTTGAGGGTTGGTCTGATCATCTTCCTAAGTTATTAATATTATTATTATTTTTTGTCAATAATGAGAAAGCAGCAATCTAGTTTGGCTAGGATACTTTTTTTTTCCCCTCTCCATTTTTCAAAGCTTTTTAGCACTGTGGCAATTGAGGTGGAGAGTAAGTGATGGCCACTATTATGGACACTAGCAAGGTTCATATAAGTTATTGTTCTAATTTTCATGTATTTACCTAGGTGAAGGGATACGGAGATGGCCTTTGAACTTTGTGCACCTTGTGGCATATTCTCTTTATTTTGTGCAAACAATGTTCTTCGGCTGAGTAGTAAGCTGGTCAGGATTATGTGTATTATGTACTTCATATAAGAAGGAAAGATTGGAACATGTAATGAAAAGATTAGTTGATATTTGCTAAATCTTGATCTGATGATGTCATACCTTAATAACTCAAGCATTTGCTAAGATGGTGCTCGTTAAGTACTGTAGATTTATTTTAGTAGATTGACTGTGATGGCCCGTAGGAAGACTTGAAAGACATCTTGCTTCATCACATATGGCTGAGTTTGACTCTTTCTGGAGAACTTTAGGTTTGCTATAGGTGACGTTGTTGTAGCAATGTCTGGCAAATTCTGCAACAGTTATTGCTGACTCTAATAGTATTTGAATGTTTTCTTATTTCAACTCTTTTCTTTAGGTTTGTCACTTCTGTGCCATTGTTCCACGACTGACAATTTTTAAGATAGTGCAAAAATTCTGTTAGCTACTGTGCATGCTCGTTGGGCTTGGCTCAACCAATGATGTACTTTTACTATGATTTACTAGAAAGGCTTAAGAAGAGTTACACACTGCAATTCTAATTCTCGATTTTTCTGTAAGAGTTCCTTAGGCTGTAAGGCCCATCGTTTCCCTGAATGATTTGGTATATTCTATAAGAATTTGATGACATTCACTTGTTTGACTTTCTTTCATTATAGAATATAAATATGTTATTGTGAACAATTTTTTGTTCTTACCTTCATGTTATCTTGAAATTTGATCATTATGCTTTGGAGGAAGTAGATCGGTCTTTGAAGATACAACAGCAAGCCTTTATCCTGCTTGTATTTTAAGTTGAGCTGACATACAAACAGCAGTGTTCCCATAAGCCGCAAATGTTTTTCTTTTAAGAATGACTGCCATGTCTCATTCTCCATGATGCCTTTCTCCTGGTTCTAAAACTGTTTTCATCAGATGAAATCTTGAAGAGGCCAAAAATGACTGTCATTTTTGTCTGAACCTTCTGTAATAAACCTTCATCTTTGTGAAAAACTGATTTAAACATCTGATGTGTTAAATTGAAAAAGGAAATATGAAGTCATCGAATGAATTTGATAGAGATTTCTTATGTTTGTATAGTGCGGACTTTTCAAGACGATCTGTTGATGATGCTTGCATGGCCCACTTTCTTTTTTATTTGTAATGTTATCATTCTAATCTTACTTTGTACTGGTGAAAACATTGATCTCTATCTTACTTTCGTCTGGTTGATTGCTCTGTTTGGTGATTTTGCAGGGAAATGATCCAGCATAGGAATTATACGCAGAAAGTTGATATTTATAGTTTTGGGATCGTTCTCTGGGAATTGATCACCGGGATGCTTCCATTTCAGAACATGACTGCTGTGCAAGCAGCATTTGCTGTTGTGAACAAGGGTGTTCGCCCAAACATTCCGAATGACTGCCTGCCTGTACTCAGTGAGATCATGACACGTTGCTGGGATGCTAATCCCGACGTTAGGCCTCCGTTCAGTGAGGTGGTCAGGATGCTTGAGGCTGCAGAGACAGAGATAATGACCACAGTGAGAAAGGCCCGTTTCAGGTGCTGCATTAGTCAACCTATGACCACAGATTAACGGTGAAAAGAGAAGTTGTAGAAGTGGTAAGAAGAGAGTAAAGCATTGAAAAGGAAAAAAAGGATAAAAACTACTGATTCGAAATCAGTTTCTGTATGTATCAGGCTTAATTTGTTTCTTCAGATAGAAAAGGGAGGAAAATTATGATAAGAACTGCTTGTTTTCGTGTTTTCTTTTTCTTTCCGCAGCCCCCCTTTTACTGATGGATTTAATATGTTTAAATTAGTGGTATTGATGTGTATTTATACATGTGTTGTGCTTCTATGTTTATACATGATATTGTTTAGCTCTTTCTCTTCCAGTTTTTCCCTGAAAACTCTTTCATCTTTCTAAATAGCCAAATGGTCTCGAATTCCCAATCAGTTCTGCACTAATTTTGACATGTGCAGTTTGAAAATGACCAGGTAGAATATCAGCAACAAGGCTTCCCCGTTGTGGCTTCTGCTCTGCTGGATTTTCTTGCTCGGTCTTGAAATGATTGTCTAATTTGAAATTTTATTTTTTGTATTAAAATTACAAATCGAGATTGGATAATTTATTAAAACTTTGGCAAAAATAAATATAGAAGTTTAGTCACTAAAACTTTTAATTGTAGTGAAACGATATATTAGTTTATTAAGATTGGTTTCATGCCTTCTAGTTGTTACACAAAGTCCAGGTCCATGAAGGATATTTCTTTTGTGCGGATTGCCCTCCAATTCTCTACTTCCGCTTGGCCTGGGTTACTTTTTACAGTGCACAAAACAAGTAAGGAATAAAGCTTGAGATTTGATGCTTATTCGCACGCTCCCCGAGATTTGGTTTCATTTTTAACGGGAAGTTGAAATCCATAAGATTGGTTAAGTCTTGAACTGAAAGCTGGTATTTTAATCCACATTTACAAGAGAGTATGTCCTTAAACAACTGGGGACGGATGAATGTTATTATATAGATGAAAAATGAGTCTACAAAGTTGTTTAATTGAAAATTTTGTAAGAAAAACATCTTTTAGTCACGCGGTTGTTAGCGTTGGATCTAAAGGAGAATATTCATGTGCTTTGCCGAGTTTTGTATTTCTGATATTCACGACTAATTAACTGAAACAAAAAAAAAAAAAAAAAAATTTCTCGACTATTTTATTGTCTCACAATACTAGTGATGTCTGGTCGCGCAACCCTGGCCCAATATATCTGTAGATCTTAGAAATGTTTGTATTTGAAAAAAAAATATTTTGTATTTGGCCCGATATATTTTAGAAATGTTTGAAAAATTTAGAAATGTTTTATAAGTGTAATCATAGAAATGTTTGTATTTGGCAAAAAAAGAAATTATATTTGGTCCGATACGTTTTAGAAATGTTTGAACATTTTAGAAATGTTTTATAAATGTTACTTATGAAAAATAAACTTGATCAAATATATGTCTTGAAGTAATTGTTAGACAAAATATAAAAGTATCCTAATAAGTTTAAATATTAGTAAGATGATTTATTGATGTTCTCCGTTTGTCGTGCCAAATCAATACTTAGTTTTGGAGATTTATAATAGTTTTGTAATAAGCTTTCTCCGAATGGTGTGCGTTTAATTATTGGAACTGTTTCTTCCAAAGGTTTATAGGTAGTAAAATATCAAAAATATGATTTTGAAACTGGTTAATTGTCGAAACTGGTTGATCACAAATATGAGAATGAAAATTAATGTAAATTTGCATAGGTTTCAAGTTATAGCCAAAAAGAACTCACCTCACCATGGCAAATAAAAAAAAAGAAAGAACATAAAAGAGCCCATCAAAAATTGAGAAATTATTTTTTTCCTATAGGTAAAATTGATGTATAAAAATACAAATAAACGTAAAAACATCATTCCTTCCCTCTCCACCTTAAATTCATAAAAGACTTCCCCATAAATTAGTTAGAAGAAGCGGCCTGAACTATTTATATGATAAGGAACTCAAAAAAGTCCAAAAATCAAATCCAAAAAATTATATTCTTGAAAGCCCAAACACAAAAAAAAATGCGCTTCATTTGCAAAAAAAAAAAAAATTAATAATAATAATAATTGGTCAACTGGGAGTATGAAACAAAATCAAAAGCATTTAAACAAAGAAAAAAAACAGTTCATAACTGACCATATACGAAAAAAAAACTGAGACTCCATAATAATTAAAAAGAGAAAACCACTCTAATTGAATGAAACATAAAAAAGAAATTAAAAAAAACCACACTTTGTAACAAAAACCCAATTGATCAATTCAATCCAAACAGAACTAAAATTATACATAAAGTCTAGGCTAACTAACCATATAAGAAATCACATCATATTACCTGGCAACGGCTACAGTAACTGTAATGGGGTGGACGCATAAAAATAATAGTAATAACACTATTCTTGAACGGGAAAAATAAAAAATAATAAAAACCGTACAAATGATCTATGGATATAAATTCATTTAAATTTTAATATCTGTAATGGCATCACTACAACGACCGAAGCAAGATCAATGAAAAATTATTTTTTTTCCTTTGTGTTTATATAGAGTAGTAAAGAGAATATTTTTTGAAGTCGAAATTTTATCCGATTAGGATGTAATTGATCATCACTAATAAAAAAATTAAACATGCTAATAGGAAAGGAGTATATTTTACCTCACATTCTCAATTGATGATTGATGAGGAATTTGTTTTTTTTTTTATTTATTGTGGAGATGTGATTGATTAGGGAGTCGATTGTCCAATCATTAATATGACCTTTGAACTGTCCAATCATAAATAAAAATAGTCCTACATACATATTATAATTCCTAAAACTACCCGCAACCGATGCAATAGGTTCTTTCAAATAACATGAGTCTCCAAACTCCTCTATCGCCTAATCATCCAAAATTAAACAGTTAAAATTATCCCACCAAACCACTCAATTGGCTGCTCCGGCAAACAAAGTTTTATTGAGTCACAGTAGGTTATTGAATTTTCAAATTTTTTTTTTTGTTTTCCAGACATAATGAAAAATTAGCTGACTGCAACAATTTTCATTAAATTCATTAAGTTTCCTAGGTTCGAAGTCTTTTCAGTTAGAGGTTGGCTTATTTCTGTGCCACCGTTAGCTTTCCCGATGGTTTCAAAAAAATGGCGATAGTGCAACGAATAACCTTCTTGAATTTGGGTTTTTTATGAAGCTGTGGTTTTTTTTTTTGGCGAAAATAGGAGGTGGAGGTGGATTTGGACTGCATTTGTCTTTTAAGTCTAGGAAACTGATGTGTAAATAAAAATTTATTTAAAAAATATGATGTGGAAATGCCACATGGCAAATGGCGGTGTTTTCTATTAAGTGTGATTTTTGTTTCTAACATAGTAAGATTTTTTGGGGAATGGGGAACACATTTAGGTTTTAGAGAAATAAAAATGATGCTAGGGCTTCATATGAGGGAATAAGTCCCCAAACACATTATTTTTTTTTATTTCTTTAAATAAATATTTTTCTGTCCTAAAATGAGGGGTAATTAAATTAATGGAGTCCAGCTCTGATACTTATATTCCTTCAGCTCTAAAAAATAATTTACATTGTAAATTAAAAAAATTGTACTAATAATAATTTTCAAAGCATGTTTCTTTAATATATATTATAATAGTATTCTTCTAGTCTTAAAATAAGAGAGTAATCAATTAATGGATTCCGATTCTAAGCTCTTTAGCTCAAAATATTGTACTTTCTCTGTTCTAGAAAAATAGTTCATATCATACATTAAAAATTGTCACATTCGATTTTTATTTTTTTATTTTTGGTGAAGAGACTTCATAGTTTCAAGAAAATGTATTCAAATTAGAAACAAGGGCCGAATATTCAGATAATATTCAAATTAGAATTCTCTCCAGGATATTTCACGACATTATTGATTAATACAGTAATATTTACCCCCTATTTTCTAAAGAACTTATTGGAAAAGACGTAAAAACTCTCGTTTTCTTTCTTTTTCTTGGAATTGTGAAAGTGAAACGTAATAAGCTTTTTTCATTTTATTTTGTTTCTGATATTGTTGCATCCCATAATTCTCTCCATCGTTCATCCCTATAAACATGGTTCTTCCATCTGTCCAACGTTGTCAATTCTGTCATAGGAGAACCGTACTACTATGATTATCAATCTTCTGGGTTGCGGAGCTACTTCCATGACACTCCAAACCTGCGTTTCATCTTCATCATTCTCACATTTCCCAGTACCGACTAGTTGTTGTGATTCTTCCACTCTCCAGAGAAATAATCCCTTTTGCATAAGTAATTTTTATCAGTTTGTTCACCAGAATAAGAATTTGGGATCATGCAGCAACAATTCCTTCTTGAATTCAGTTTCACGGAATTTCAAATGCCCACCTCTTCATTGCAGAGCTTCTGCTGCCCAGGTAAAATTCCAATGTGTTTCTTTACTCTCAGACTGATCCCACTTGAGATTTTAGCATAATTATACGTATGGTTTGGTTTATTTGGAATCCCAATTATATAATTGGGGTTTGAACTCTGAAAGGGGAAGGAAAGGTAGTAACTTTTTATGTTGCGAATACCACAAGAACAATCATTTAGCCTTTTTCTTTTCAATTGTTTTCTACTATTTGTAAGCTTTGTGACTTGTATATTCAACGACAATTATATGATGATCACACACTATTTGTGATTATACCGTTTAATTGATTCTAAAATTGTCACGATGATCGCATATGGTTTGTGGTTCTGCTGTTTCTTTTGATTTTAGAATTGTCAACACATATATATTCTTTTTCCCTCAACAGTAGAAAACTTGGGTTTATTTTTATAGTGTTTCAATCACAAAGGTGGGGGCAGAGGCCCCCTTGGGTGTATTTATACCCTGTTTCAGTACTTTGTTACAGAAGTATTGTTCTTTTGCTCCGTTGCATTCCCTTATAGGAGTCTTACTGTCAACTTTTCAGGTTGAATCTGCACAATTGGCGGGCTCGTCGAGTAACGTGGGGCTTGAAAATATTACCTGGCCTTCTCCCAATGATAAAATCCCGTTTTGGAGAAGGCCATTTCCATCATGGGACATTGCGTCAGATGGTTCTACTAATGCTGAGAAGGACGCTGACGTTCTTCACATTGTTCATGCGACAGCTGAAATGGCCCCAATTGCAAAAGTTGGAGGTCTTGGCGATGTTGTCACCGGCCTTGCTCGTGCGTGCTTGGCACGTGGTCATAAAGTGGATGTCATGCTTCCTTTTTATGAGTGTATTCAGAGGCATGATATCAATGATTTAGAGTTGATCAGCACTTATGATTCATATTTCAATGGAGACTGGATACGGACTAATGCATACAAAGGAGTAGTTTCAGGCATCCCAGTGATTTTAATTGAGCCATCAAATAACTTCTTCAAGGGACAGAGTGTATATGGTGGCTCTTACAATGAGCTTGAGGCATATTTATTCTTCAGCCGCGCGTGTCTTGAATGGATGCAGGTTCGTGACTTCTGGAGAGCAACATTCTTAGACGAGCTGTATGAATACGCACTCCTATCAACCTTCTAGTATCTGTTGAAGATATTGCCCTGGAAGAAAAGAACACATACATAAAATTCTTAGTGCTTTCCATACTTGTGATAAATTGATGGTTCACACAGCCATTCACACGTAGTTGTGTATACCCATTGAAAGGATGCACAGGTTAAAACAATGAATATATTTGAGTACACTGTTCCCATCATAATGGTGGCAGCATCAATACATCCTGGCATAAACGATGCATCTTTGCCAAAATGCTTTTTTCTGGAAACTTACATAAGATTTTATTTGCAGGTAACTGGAACTCAACCTGACATTATTCACGTCCATGAATGGCAGATTGGTTCTTTACCTCTTCTTTACTGGGATATGTACCATCAACTCTCGCTCCAGGCACGGGCAAAATTACTTACCTGCTTTAGCATTCATTATAATTGATGATCTCTACATTTTTTTCTTTTTAGTGGACTTATTATGCTTTGTATTTTGTAGAAACCGAGAATAGTTTTGACAATTCATAACATGGAGCACTATGGAGAATGCAGGTACTCTATTTCTATTTAGCTTGCTCCTTTTTAATGTAAAATTTGATAAATGGAAAGGTCGAGACCGTTAATGACCTGCAGTTCACCATGATGAATGAACTGCAGTTACTTGCAATTTACTTGATCACCCATCACAATTACAGGAATAATATTTCCCATTGTTTATGAATTTGGAAACAATTCGACCAGAGTTAATTTTCATCCAATTCTGGATTTTTTTTTTCCTGAGATTAATAAGTGGACCTGGTCAACCCCTTACCATTGTACTTAGGCCAGGCAATACTTATCACCTCAACACAAGAAACTAGTGAAATGCTCAGAAGTAAAAAGAATATTTGAACTATTTTTTTTAATTTCTTTTTATTTTAGAATATTTGAACTAATTTGATAATTAATGTATTTATTCCAAAACTTCTTGTTGAACAGCCAAGAGCAACTAAGCAAGTGCGGTCTTGATGGATCTGTTTATGCAACTGAAGACAAGGTGCGCACTATATTACATATAAAAATGTTTACTTTTGGTTCCTCCATCATCTTGTTTCATTTCTATCAGTGATTTTCTTCCCGAGTTCGTCTAGTCTCTTCTTTGCATGCTATATTTGCTTCTTTTTATTTATGTTGTGAACCTTGGGTGTAATTGAGTTCATGAAAAATTGGAATTGGGAAGTTATCTCCTTTTCTGTTACTACATTGCAGGCTGTTGATGATCGTACGATTGGGCATAATCCTGAGAGACTAAGCTTGTTGAAAGGAGGCATTGTCTATAGTAATGCAGTCGTGTACGTTGAGCTACTTTAATGTATATGTATGCTTCAAGTTTCCACACACTTTCCTGCATCTATGTTTGTGTGAACATTCACGCACATCCTCCATTAAATCAATTCTTTATTCAGCTTCAATTTGCATACTGGGTCTACTGAAGACATTTTTGCAGTAAACTGATAAATATGCTAAATCTAAGTTAGGAGCTATTCAATAGAAATGCCCCTAAGCTGATACACATGCAATTTTCCAGCAGCATCCGCAACAACCAAACCTTTATCGACTAGTTAGACGGCTCGATGGATTATATCTTGCTATAGCACTATGTCAAGGCACATTTTATATGATTAAATAAATCCTGTCTTTTGATTAGTTTTTTCCTTGCAATTCCTTATTTAACACCCTAAAATGGTCAGACGCCAAGTTAAAGGCCGATAATTTTATATATAGATAGATTGATAGATAGTTGTATTAGAGAATCTGAGTTTAGTTGAAAACCAGATTTTGTAAATCCTGCAACCCCTAATTTGTCCACTCCACTTTTCCCTTCATATTGATATAAACTTTCTAATTAGTAGCCATTGTTAGTTTTTGTTTGGCTGGAAATTATTGAGAAAGAAGACACGGTAAATTGTAGGTGGTTTCTTTTTAGGATTTAGGAACTGGATAACATATGTTGCTTACGTATGCTTTAGTTACATATGATAGTTTTCCTGTATGCGGTCTTTTTTATGCTTTTTGATAAGTTATTCTCTCTATAAGGATGACTACCTTCTCATGCTGAGAAATGTCTCATGTAACTCATTGAGTTTAAGTGCTGGGGCCAAAATCGAACTAGCCAGATCGGTAAAACTTTGTGCGTAAATCCTCATTAGACAGTTATCTTCAAATCATGCATTTGTTGCCAGATTCAAGCAGTGTTGAATTTGCTGATATATCTTTGCCTTCTATGAGCAGAAGATGCTGGACCTATTTTGTGTCTGCAGATTCAAAGTTTTCTTTGGTTAACCGAGCACTTTATGTCTGCACACTGAAAGAGTGAAAGATCATTAATATGAATTGGATTGTTCTTTTAATTTTCAGTACAGTCTCTCCAACATACTTAAAGGAAACAATATGTTCTGGATGGCTTGCGAGTACCTTAATACGGAACCGTGAAAAGTAAGTTCCCTTTTGACTAATCATTTTAGAGCTGTCTTTTCTGTATGATTTAATTTTTTTGAAGTACTTGGTTAGGAGTTTTGAAATTGCTAACATGATTGGTATTCGTGTAGGTACTCTGGCATTTTAAATGGCATAGACACTGCAATGTGGAACCCTGCTGCTGATGTTTTTTTGCCCGCTAAATTTGATGGTAATCAACTATGGTGTGTTTAATCTAGTAGGTACTTCCTCCTACTAATAAATGATAATTATGAACTCAGATCAGGTGATAAGTGCCGCGTTCATTTGGCAATAGCCAACTGATAAGTCTAGGATTTGAACACTTAGTTATATTCAAGTTGAATGTGTTTAAGACATATTAGCAATTATGAAAGAAAAATGATGCATAAAGCTTTTTGAATCCACAAGAATTGGTCACTGCTTAAAAATGATTTTCAGATGATTCTAATTCTGTTGGATGAATTACATCCAGTATATTTGAATTCTCTTAGAAATTCAGTTCTGTGGAATGTTCAAATTAGTATCTTTTGTCTGACCCCATGAAACCAATCGATTTGAAATATCTAATTACGGACTGAACCAACAAGATAGATTAATAGCTTTAACCTTGCTAGCAAAGGTTTGAGTGGATTGCCTGGAATCTTACAAGAGAATATACTGCTTCTATGATTATGTTTTAGAACAGACCTGACACTGAAACTAATACTAACAGACCTGACACTGAAACTAATACTAACAGAAATGGCGCATGTATTGAGAGAGATTATACTTTTCTGTGTGAAAATGTGTCTTCTGGAGCAAATTGGAGTTATGTCATGTGATTGGAATCAAGCTATTCAGATAAGCTGTTTGACACGTCAATCTATTAAACATACGTTAGTTTGTATTTGGTTATGATGTGACATTACATTTTAATTATGATAAGTAGTGTGAATGATCCATTCACGTTTTCCCAGATCAATAAAATTTCTGATGTGAACATTAAGAAATTCTGGTATTTAGCTCATACTGGTAACCAGTGCTGGATCATCCATTTTGTAAGAAACAGTGTCTGACCTAGTAATTGTATAATTCAGTGTATATAACCTCTGAGATAAGAGAAGCTCGTAAAACTTGTGGAATAATATGCCAAAACTTATTTCTGTAGAACTTTGAAAAGGCAGTTTACAATGTTGGGATGATTTCTTCATCAAATTTCAACTTAGGATGGGCTGTAGGATTCAGCTTAAGAGATTTTTTCAGAACATTTAACCTCGATCTTTCTTGGCTCTTTTAATTATCATTTTTGGATTGATTTAGTTGTGCATTTGCCATCTTAACATGCTTCTTGAATTTTATGCCTAGGTCAAGTAGGGCTTTAAATTAATGTCTATTGATGGGTTAGCAGCTCACACACTTTTGAGAGTTCAATCCTTGTGGAAATCTTGTCGTGGCTTTCTGATGTCAGTCAATTCTTGGTTGCATATCAGAACTGCAAGAAACTCAGCGACTCATGTCATTTCCTGTTCCTCATCACATTGTTACTTGGGCCTTAATATTCAATATCTGTGCTATTCAATCTCTTTAATTCCTCTTTGTATCTTCTGATTTTGCTTTTTCATTTTTGTCCAATTAGCTGATAAAATAGAAGGGAAGAGGATATGTAAACAATTTGTGCAAAGAGGACTTGGATTGGGTCTAGAAGGGACTGATTTTGGTCATGGCCAAGTGCCTTTGGTTATTTGTATTACTCGATTGGTGGCTCAAAAGGGCCTTCACTTAATTACACATGCCATCCAGCAGGTTGAAAAACTTGTGAGTCTCCCTCTCTCTCTCTCTCTCTCTCTCTCTCTCTCTCTCTCGTGTCTGTGTGTGCATGTGTTCTAGCTGACTCAACTACCACACTTCTAAATGGTATTTTCTTCCACTTGATCTGAAAAAAATAGCTGAATGTTGTGTCTCTTTAATCTTTGTACTCATAATATAATGTATACATGTCTCTCACAAGCACATTCTGCTTTGTTTCTTCCCATCGGCCCTCATGAGTTAATCTTTCAAATAATAGAGTTCTGTTTTTCTGGCATTCAACATCCTACTGGTCATTGATAATTGCAAGAGTACTTGCCAAGCTTGATCCTTTATTTTTGCTTCATGCCATGGCCAAACGCTACCCAACAATCTTCATAAATAAGGACATGCAAGGGTGGAGGGTAATGGGGCTGAGGAGGGGAAGATATATAAACACAATGCACCGCAGAAACACAGTAATTCAGAGTTAAAGGCTATGAATATCTTACAAACGTTTGAACCTTCTGCTTCTGTTGTGCATTGGAGGAGCAGTAAAGTGATATCTCAGTTTTCAGTATCTTCCCAACCAAAACTATAATAAAATGATTGTTATGGGTAATTGTCAACTACTAATTTACTTACTTTTCGTCTTCAATTACTATGTGAACTACTATTATCACAAGCTACATTTGTAACTTCTCTTTGATTTTTGACTTTGTCATGGCCCAATTTGTTTTTGCAATGATCTTGATGGGTTTCAAATGTTAATAAAGAATTTCCTTTGGCATTTCTGTAGGGTGGACAGATGATTGTACTTGGAAGAGCCCCAGATGGTAGGGTAGAAAGAGAGTTTGAAGGTCTTGCAAATGTGGTATGAGAATATTTTTCGAACTCCTAAATATTACTGTGTACTGAAAAAGACGCAGTCCCTTAGGAAGTTGCCTGCTTGTTTTTTCATTAATAAAGCCTTTTTATGCCTTGTGAAGCTACTGAGATTTGCTGTTCATTTATCAGACATCAATTATTAAACATCAATCATCAGCATCACATTGAAGAATTATTGATGTGTTTAATCATATCTTCCTTCTCTTTATCCATTGTGCCAGATGAAACAATAGAAATGTAGAATTTTCAAACAGAGCTTTCCACAAGGCTGTGTTCGTATGTGCTGTAATCAAATGGGATCCCTGATGAATATATCAATAGTGAAATTTTAAAATGCTGTAACACAGTTTCATGCTGTATTATCCTGCTACATCCAAATACGTTCTCCACTCTGCCAATCACAGTACACATGGGCAATAAAGCATTTTCCTTTGTTTATATGTCTGGAATTTTTATCTTTGCACAAGTTTCTGGAAAATTGACAAGATATGTTTCTCTTTTTGCAGCACAACAAAGGTTCTAGCATTAGGATTCTTTTGATGTACAGGTAATCTTTTTGAGAATGAATCTTTACGCTAACTGTGCCACGAACTGCTTTCGGGCGTTTTACTTTAGCTCGGGGATTATTTCTAGCTTAAAAAACTTTATACTGTTAAAGGAGTATTCTTTTAATGTAGACACAAAATCTTGAAATGCTGCAAGTCACTAATCATAATTCTCTTGATTATGCAGTGAGGAGCTGTCACACATGCTATATGCTGCTGCAGACATGGTGTTGGTCCCTTCAATGTATGAACCGTGTGGATTGGCTCAGATGATTGGAATGCGCTATGGAGCGGTAGGTGCTTCAATATTTATTCTTAATAGGCATGCTTTATTAAATATGAAGGTACAAAAATCTTACAAAACATTAAGGGTTGTATGTTTGGGTTTTAAAACATATACAATGTGAAAATTCAGGTCTGAAAAGTTCGTTGGACAAGAATGTGACTTGAGTTCGAATTATGATACTCAAAAAGACAACTTCTATTTACCAAAAAAAAAAAAAAAGACAACCTGTATTTACCCAAAAAAAGAAGAACAACTTGAAGAAAATCTATGAAATTTGCAGGTACCTGTAGTCAGGAAAACTGGCGGTCTTGCAGATACAGTCTTCGACATAGATGATAAATCGCAGCCTGAGATGGCAAACGGGTGAGTTGTGAAATTAATATACCTCTGTTTGACTAAGTTAAACATTAGTTAGGACTTTTCACTTTAGCTATGACGTTTTTGCTGCTCGTGAGTCAGATCAAACTTACAATTTCAACTTATTACTTTGTGATTTCTTCATGTAAAACATAGTTTTCTCGATTTTATCTCTACACGAACAAGCAGCTTTGGTCGTGGTACCAGCAAAAAGTTTTGGATCTGAATGAGTAAATTAGTCATATGACAAATAAATTTTACTTTGTTGATGGTATTTTCCACTAAACAATCCTCCAAGGTTTCAGATATCATATTTTGTGTGTAGTCATTTTGACTTTGTAATGGTGTTTTTAACATTTGCTGAATTGATAGAACCAATTTGCCTTCAAAATCTTTTGTGCATGCTGTTTGTATGGCTTTTTCCATTCTCATAACCTTTGGGTTACATATTAAACATTGTGGAAAATGAGTAACTCCGTGCTACAATTTAATGACTACAGTAATCAATAAAAGCAAGAAATTGTGTTTACTGTGCATGCAAAAGAGATACTGATTTGCCAAAGATGGGTTTTTTTTTTAATCTCTTTTTTAGGACTACATGTGATGGTAATAAATATGAAAAAAATAAAAAGGATTTCAAATTCATTTCCCTTAAATTCTGAAGGATCCTTTGAGGAAATATGTTGTCTGTCAAATTTAGGTTATGCACTTTGGTCTCATATGAAAAGATACGCACACAACAAAAGTAAGCTGTAATTTAAGTGGCAGGCAGATCTTTTCCTGCAATTTTTGTTGTTTGAGAATGTAAAACCAATGCCCTTGGCAACTAGGCCAGGCCGTTCCTCTTTCTGTTGGTCCTTTTCTTTTTCTCTCTTCTTCTGGTATGGTGTCTATATTTTCACGTTTCAGCGTCATCTAACTACTCTTAGCACACCAAGTATTCTACAAAGTCCCTTGCCAGCAGGTACATAAGAAATCATTGAATAATTGGAATAACTTATGTATTTAGAATGTTGCTCCTTATTTTCTGTTTTCACATATCTTAAATTTCATTCTCTTAATATTTTTACTGGGATTGTTATTCTTCAAACAAGAGTAAAAGCCAGACCATGTGGCAGGATGGCGGTTGGTCAGCTCTCTTGTTATTTATAGTTCTTTGAGGGGTCTTGACTGATTCCATTCTCTTTGGCGACTAACCATTCGACAGTTCCTAACTTAGCATCTAGGTTGAGATATCTTGTTAATGAGTTGTCCTTTGAGTGAGAGTCGGTCATTAGTACACATCTGAACCGCGGGTGCTTCTGCAAATTTTCATTCTACTCTTGGAAAGGACCTGATTCCAGTTTCTCTTGTAGGTTTGTCTTTGAAGGAATCGATCAAGGGTCATTGGACTCGGCTCTTAATCGTGCATTTTCTTACTACCGTGAAAGTAAGCTCAGTAACTTTTCATTCCTGAAACAGTACTAATTCTTTACATGCACTTTGTGCGCTCCAAGATTAACAATAACTGATTCTTCAATTTTCTTTGGGGAAATGTTGATGCAGAACAAGATGAATGGAAGGCTACTGTACAGAAGGTAATGCGGGTGGATAATAGCTGGAATAAGACAGCAGGGAAGTACATTGACGTGTACAACTCGGTCCGAGTCAAATGGTAGTTAGTCAAAGTAGAAAGAATCGATTAGTCTTAGCCATTGGTGACAATGGCATTTAGCTCTTACTTGAACGTCTGCAGTGAGAAATTTGTAAAAAAAGAAAAACATTCCTTTTGTTGCTGTTCTATTCATCCCTAGGATTTTCAGCATGAAGATTACGGTTATAACTTAGTTTAACTATCTCATTATAACTACCAAGTACTTCTAGAAACTATTACTGCACCAAAACTAGGGTCTAGCCTGTCGCCGAACCCAAGTCATGTATCCACACTGATTCTTCTCCACCTTAAGTGAACCATAACTGATGTATACTATAACATTTTCATGCAGATGCCTAAATGAAACTGATAGTTTTATCTCAAACATGTTCAATACGATCACTTCATCACCTGGACGCCAACCAACTGTTTTATCAATGCTACAAAAAAGGCAGAAAAACGAACACTAATGATACGAAAAGAAACGGCCCAGTTGGTCCCCGAAAATTCTGTAACTTGCATCTTTTTCATTTAACATAGTCAAGCCTTTGGGAATTGTACAGAATTCTTCCCAGAAGACCAAATTAATCACTAGTCACTGACAACTCAAAAAAAAAAAACAAAAAAACAAAAAAAAACAGAAGAAAACTAGAGTACAACCCAGTAAGCATCAGATGTGTGAAATGAGCTCACACGACTAAAATAACTTAAACTTGAAATAACCTTCATATGCCTGAGGCCACCTACATTATACTATAAAGGAACTGCTAGAATCATTCAAAGGGCGACAGAAAAGGGAAAGAAAAGGAATCAAATGTTGCTCTTCAGCCAGCCAGCCCAAGGATCTTCATAATACAACCCCAACACTAACTTCAAACAATTAAAAAAATAAGAGACAAGAATTGAAAGAGAGCGCTTCTGTCTGAGGTAAATGGAAAGACCACCTTAAGAGATCAAGTCAGTGATGTCCAGTCAAATGACTTCAAGTGCAGTTGCTGAAAATATCTATGCCTGACGACTGCCGCTTATAACAACTTTTACTCCCTGATACGACTTGCAAGTCTAGAGTTTATTTGTGATCTACTCCTGCTCGGTTTTTGGCAGGCTTTTACTGCCTTCCAAATTCAGAGTGTCTGCTAGATTATCTGACAGTTGATTTATTGGATCCGCAGCAGCGGAAACAGGTGGGGTTCCAACTGAACTGGTCTTTTGTTTCGCCTTCTTCTCCAACATCGATTTCTCCCGATCATCGTAGAATTTAAAATCATCTAGAAGAGATGTATCAGCTTCATATTCCTTGAAAATTTTCAGCATTTCAATTCCTTGCTCCAGTTTCACCTACAAAGATATCAATGATTAATCACAACTTTTGAGAAGCAAATCCAAAAACCAGATTTACTCCAGAAAAGCTACCAAAATTCACCACAACATCACTGGATCAATAATAACGACACTATCTCCAACCATAAGCCTGGTTCTCCACAAAGTAACAGTTGGGTTGTTATCGTCTTTTAGTAACTAGACCTGTCTAAACTAACACACATACAAAGGGTAAAAGCAGCACCACAACATTCAATGTCGCAGTATGAGCCAATCCTAAGCCATAACTCATTCTGACAAGTTTCTCTTCCTCATGTGAGTTCACATTTCTTCCAAAAGTGAATGGTCAATGAGCCATAAAAGAAAAAACCAAAGCTTGCAACAATAAAAGACACTTCAATGACTCAGAAAAGGTGTAGTACAACAAGGTCACAAAATAAACATCCATGGCCTTGAGTTATGATCACAAGTTATACAAATACTTCAGATTCATTATTGTCCGAAGTGATATTTGCATCATATTTCATAACAAGAAAAGATTAACTCCAGAAGACAAAAATGAAAATTTCACGGAGAGGATAAGCTAGCATACATGCAATTATCAAGATACGTTAAAGAAGCTCAAGAGATGCTCACCTCTTGGGAGTCCCTGCTGTGAGTAACAGGCTTATTGTCATTATTTTCAAGTAATATGTGGCGGAGCCGACTGTTAGGCACATCCTTAATGACATGCCACTTGACAGGGAACTGACCGCTCCATCTATCCTGCTGCCAGTAGTCAGCATCTTTCTCAAAATCAACGGGTCCAACCATCTCAGCTATTCCACAAAACTGTCCACTAGCATTCACCTAGAAAAAATCAAAGCAACACTACTTCATTACTGACAAATAGGGCCCCACCACGACCAAATTAAAATAGATAACAGGGAACAGTTCATGGAAGAGGTTATCAGTAATTATTGCAAACAGTCCACAATCTGACGAGTATAACTTAATAAAATAGATAACTGGGAACAGTTCATGGAGGATATCAGTCATTATGGCAAGCAGCCGACAATTTCAACACATTTTTTCATTGCATTAGCTAATTTTCATAAGATCTACATTTTCAAATTTTTGGCAAAACAAATAATGCAAAGGATATGCTTTGTTAATAAGTCGTACTCAATTTTAATTATAGATACCACATTACTGATGATATGCTTTGTTAATAAGTCATACTCAAATTTTAATTTTAGATACCATAGTACTGATGCAGCGACTGATGCTATATTTCGAAAGAAGTGTCGCACCTCTCATTCTAATTATTACCACTAACAAGGTACAGACTGATGCAGGCAAACAAATCAGAGGGGCGTTGGGGGTCGACCAAGTGATTTGCACATAATATAGCCATATATTGACTTATATACCTACATTATTAGGCAAACTCTCTACCCTTTTAACACTAGTAAACTCAGGCAAGAGCAAAAAATGAACAATGAGTTTAAACAACAAGCTTTAACATGTCACTCTCATCTCAATACTCAAAAAACATACCGAGAAAAACAGGAAGACCGGACAATTGCCTGCCATGTCCTTGGCTTCATGATAAGCAGCATCAAGTTTTCGGTTTCCTAGTGGTGTACTAGCCCAGACACCATATTTAATACTCTTGTGCACATTGTCTTCACTGAAAGATTTGATGACAAAGAATTTGGCATTCTCATACTCTGTGGCGAAATCAGGATTGTTATACTGGTCAAGCGGAACTCCAGATGTAGATTCAACATCTTTATTGATGCCAGATGAAGAGCTATCTTCCGCAGAATTCTTGCCTTTTGGTTTTGAAGCCCTGGGGCCTCTGTTTCTATCATTTGATAGCCCAAGAGAATCATTAGAATAGTTCAGTGAGTCCTTCTCTCTATCACGTCTTCCACCTTTATCCAAAGAAAATCTGTTCCGCTCCCAGTGAGAACTGGATCCTGTAGCATATTTCATATTCTGATAGGAGCCACTATGAGGGTAATGTCTTGCCGACGAACCGGATCCTAGTCCCATACCTTGATATGGTGCCTGCCATCAAATCATTCATAAAGAAATGGTGAGCGGTGAAATCCATCAGGAGCCACAGCTTAATATTAAAAACGAAAAGTCCACAAAAGTTCATCCAATGGCAGCCTTTAAAAACAACCGCCACAATGCTTCATATTAAAACAAAAAGTCCACAAAAGCTCATCCAATGGCAGCCTTTAAAAAACAATCTGCAGCTAAGGGATAAGGTAAGGCGTAGCACAGTGAACAGTTTTATAACCTAATGTTCACCTCATCCATGAATTTAGAAAGCATTTTAAGTAACCCCTAATATACTGGACAAAACAAGAATAAGCATGTTTCATGACTGAAGTATTCAAGAATTTTTAATGTTTAAGGCAAATTGGTTCACAAAGACTCTTCTCAGTACCAGTCACATATAGCGGCAACTAACTATTTTTCCACTAAATAATGGTCACCATTACTGCTTAACTCAAAACTTCTGATGTTCTTTCGACCAAAACCAAATACAGGCCATAAAGTTAAATCTGTTCCACTTTAGAGGCAAACTTCAGATTTAAAAAGAGTTGAAAGCTAGTAGACACCGGGTACAGGACAATTTTTTTTTTCCCTTCTTCGAATGTGTACAATGAATCAGAACAGCAAGAAGTGCGGCTCGCAAATCAACCACAAATTCGTTGAATTATGCTTCCATTTCATTTATTCATGATTTTTTCCCCAAAATAATCACTTTTTCTCAGGTGAATGAATCATGATGATCAGGCTACAACCGTACTAGCCTTGGTAGTACGAACTGCAGCCATGAGATATTAGATCACAAGAACTTGACCCTAAGATGCCTCTAATAGAAATAATAGGTAAAAGTTGCATACAGTAGACCTCATGACCTGACCTTTCTCCCAGAACTTAGAACTTGCATATGTGAAATCTTCACTAAACAACATCCACTTCCAATTCAAAAACTTCGGCGCAAATTACAAATAAGACTTCTTATATGATCCATATGATCAGGAGAAAGAAATTTATGATAATGCAACCCTCCTCTCCAATTCAGACATGGAACAGTTACACTACAATAACATTCTGCCCAAGATCATATGTAGCTTCGACCAATTTCTAGTTAGAAATGTACATAGAAACATGATGCTACTCAGGTAAGATGACACTCCCACTAAAAGTCAATATAAACTACTCGAAGACAAAGTACCAAACGATATCTTGGAAGAGAAAGGAAGCAGAGGAGAGGGATTTAGGAAGAAAAAGATTGCAATAGGGACATCCAAATAGTAACAAACGTTTTTGCCTTAATGGAAAATCATATCTGTACCATTCAAGACAAGCTGATCAAGTTTGCTCAAAACAGTACATATAGAAAACAAGAATACACCACCATAGATTGCAGTAAATCATTTAATGTGTAAAGATCGCTACAATAGCTTCAAGTCAGCAGAAAGCGGATGGGGATGATAAGAACATTTCCCATCTGTGGCAAAGCCCCAAAATATAACACATTATATATAGGAAAGAACAATAGAGAGGACTCACCTGTACAAGACTCTGCTCATACGATCCAAGAATGCCAATTGGCTGGGGGTACAGAGCTCCTGATGTTAAGGGAGACAAGTATCTACTTGATTCCAAGGAGTTTGATTGATTAGACAAAGCATCACCTGACCCAAAATCGCCTGGGAACTTATAAAAACCAAGACTACTGTTTCCAGAAAGATCACCTCCCCCAAAAGATCCAAAAGGTAAGTAATAGCCTGAACCTGGCCCAAAAAGCGTATTATCAACTAGGCTTTCTTGTCCGCTAGTTGCTGGAGCCATTAGATCTGTCTGTGAGACTGTCATAGCAGAACTAACATGCGGCAGACCTGGGGACATAGGTGGAAAATAGGGAGGTGGAATTTGCTGTGGAGAGTACAGCTGGCCGTCGATCATTATTGTAGACATTGGACTTGGAATGGGAGAAAACTGCCCATATGCCATCTGAGTGTCATAGCCATAACCAGGAGGAAAGAATAGTGATGGATTCTCATTGTACATTGTCTGCACATAGCCAAGAACCTATAATGATCAATAAACAAAGAAAAAACAATTGCCGCACATTTTGCTCCACCTAAAGGCAAAAGGAAACGAAATAAAATTGATCACAACTTACAGGTGGTACAACATGTAAATTGTTAGCATTGAGATAATTAGAATGGTCATCCCAAGTACCAGTCCCGTCAAAACCTGAATTGAAACAAAGCAACAACTTTTAGAACCTTAGCAGCAAGAAGCACAAAAAGCAAAAGGGCTGGAAGGTACCATGGTCAATAAATGTAAACCAAAGTTGTTACTTCAGTTCCAATGTAAACAGAGATTTGACATTTAACAAAAAACGTTGATAAAGAAAGGTTTATTCAACACTCTATATTCCAGTTTCAGACATACCACAACAATGTCAAGTAAAAATTTTATCCAGAACCTAAGATTTAAGTTCTGTGCTCTTGTTAGGGGTTCATGCCTTTCTCAAGAACTCTAAGTTAGAATGAAAACACAAATACAAGAGGAAGGTAAACTTGGCTATATATCATACACCAATAGGAAAATAAATTTCGATATGGTAGACATGTATTCACCACAACAAAAAAATAATTCACAAGCAATACAGGGTGTATATATGTTGAGACAAAAAACAGTATATGAAATGAAAAAGATTCATCTAACCTCCGAAATAAAAATTTGGTTCTTGCGGAACATCAAGTGGTTGCACAGTAGTAGCAGCCCCAGTTTTCTCCAAGGGAACAGGCTGATCTTTGACATTTCTTGAAGCCCCTGAGATGGCTGCATCCGGAGAAGGATTTGCTGAAACAATCCTTTCATCTTTCGGCGAAAGAGGCTGATAATAGAATGAAAAGGAAGTACTAATGGGACACAGTACCTAAGCTAACCAAAACTTACAGGGAAAAAAAGGAAAAGAATAAAAACGAGAGTAAAATCAATTTACCTGTTCCGGCACATTATGCAACTCAACAACTCTCTCCCCTGGATTGACAACAAAACAATAAAACTGTCAGACACAATGAATAATAATAAATAATCCAGTCATACAAACCGAGAAGCTTTCTCAATCTTAGCTCTTTCTTGCAAAGATGCTAACGCATTAATATAACTTACAATTTGCAGTCACAAAAAGGTATCCTTTAGTCAAAATTTTATTGTACTACAACAACATAGATGATAGCCTAGATTGTAAATATACACATCCACATATCTCCTAACAATGAAATAACCGTATGAGGATCAGTTGTAGATGGAATGGTTCTCCTCAATTGCACTCTGAAAGAAATTCTATTTATTTATAATAAGTAATAATGTTTCAATGCAGGAAACCTGAAAAAAAAAACACAATATCTAAAGAACTAATCCATAAAAAAATGTTAGAAATTCAACCAAACAAATACCTTTACTGACTTGTTATCTTTAAGTAAGTAAATTATTCATTCAATAAAAAGAAAAAAAGGTAATGAAGTCAAACACCGACAGACCAGAAGGCATATGATTCACACAAGTAGGGGAGCATAGCACGCATTGAAAAAATCCCAGAATTACATTGACCAATATTGCAGTAACCTCTATATACAACAAGCAAATTTAACATCAGCCCAATTCGTATGAAAGACTAATTCCAACAAAAAAACACATAAAAACACCATAACTGATCCTCATTGAATCACAAACCCTAATTGGAGCCACTTGTTGAACAACACCAAAAAAAAATAAACCTAAAAAATTCCAAACTCCGCCCAAAAACCCATTTCAACTCCTCACAACCCATCCAAAATCATTGCCCATAACAAATAAAAAGGCAATTCAAAGGAAGAAACGCCACTTTCTTTATCACCACATACATCACCAAATCCAGAAAGAGGGGGACGTAATTCAAATTAACCAAAAAGGAAAAGGCACAAACCAGTGGAGGAGGTGATGGGAGCAAATCGATCAAAGTTTTGCTTACCGGCTTCTTCCATGAATCCAATCTAAGCGGATCGAATAATAACAATTCAATTTATTCAAACAGGAATCCCCAAAAAAAAATCAGGAACAAATAACCAACCCCAAAAAAACAAAAAAAACGAAAAAAAACAAACAAAATCAACCCTACTTCCCTTTACTGTTTGTTGTATAGAACTGCTAAAAAAAATTGAATTTGGGATTTGAAAAAAAAAAAAGAAAAGGAGAGAAAAACAGAGAAGAAGAAGGGGGGAAAGCCGGGAAGCGGGAGGGAGAAAGGTGATTGGGTGGGAAGAGCAATGGGGGAAATCTCGGCCGCGGGAGGGTTTGAAAATGAATAGACATGAGGGTTTTAGGGTCAGATTTATAAATACCCAAAATTGTTTTGTCTTTTTTTGGTCAGCGTATTTATTACACAGATTTTTCCTTTCTCAAATATTTCCGTTTTCTTCCACATCTACAATTTCAATTTTGACGAATTTGCATTATCGCCCTCTCTTTTTCTTCTTTATTATTTTTTCCATTATAAATTTCGTATCATATAAACAAAATAAATCTATTATAATTTCGTATCATATAAATAAAATAAAAAAGTAAACGTGACGTTGTTGTGAATATACAATGTGTACATTGTGTCCATGTGAATTAGTATCGTAAATTTAATAACAAAAGCACATGTTTAGAAAAATTTTAACTCCGATTTTTATAATAAATTACATGAAAATAACAATTTAACATCATGAAAATTTTTTTTGAGAATTGCAATGGATACCCTTTAAAGGAAAGATCTTATACGCGTTACTAACGCGTTCGACATTATTACAATTTAAAGGAGAAAGAGGAATCAATTATAGATTTTATATTATACCATTTAAAATTGTTAATTAGAAAATTCAATCTGATGGAAATATACAGAGTATCGATATTAATCTAAGGTAATAACAATGCACCACATTTTAGTAAGAACTTTAAACCCAAAATATATGCTAAATTATAAAAAAATTTGAAAATATTAGGAAAAAAATGTAAACCTAAATTTACGCGGACCTATTTTCAATTTAGGACCTTTTCGAATAGCTATTCAAGATATCCAATTAAATATACGTGTATACAGCGTGTACATGAAGTCATGAATCACAATTATAACAACATAACGGCCTTAGAAAAAATTTAAACGTGTGGCGTGAAATTAGATAACTAATTAAAAAAATTGACAAATAAAAGTTGATTAGATCCTATAAATCTTATTATGTAACAACTCAATTTCACCTTTTTACAATACTATATTAGTATTATCCTTTTTTAAATTTATTTATAGTTATAATATCTTATCCTTCTTTAAGAAAAAAAAAGTTTTAGAGAGTTTACTAACATAGTTTTTTGGGTTAAATTTATAGGGGTAATCTTATCCTCCTTTTTACTAAAATTTAAAAAGAGTTTGTTAAGATTTTTTTTTTTTTTCCAGAAAGAGAGGTTGGAGCAATTTTCGGGTTCCAACTGCTACAGAAACAGTCAAGGGGTGTACCCTTGAGATGTGTTTGGTAGTAGCCAGTACTATATAGTACAATGCACCCAGGGATATACCTAATGGATGGACATATGTACCATCTAGTTTCCTAGTATTATTTCTCCCCGATCAATATTATTTCCTTTAATAAATGAAAGGCCTAGGGTAACCCTTGGCATTTTGCATCAAGACTTTTAAATCTTAGAAACATTTGCGAAACACTATCCAAACTCTAGCTAAAAATTGTTGACAACTATCTAATTTAAAGATAGGGAACAGAAAGTTTATCTCGATGTGCTTTTCCACGTATTGATGCCGGAAGATCACTAAGACTATTGTATTGCCTTGTAACCCCTGTGGAAGCTTGCTTTGGAAGCTCATCTGCAACACTATTCGACTCTCAAAAAATATGAATGATTCTTGGGTGCGAGAGTCTCAACATTTCTTGTATCCCTCGGAACTAATGATAATATTTCCAGGGAAAGTTCGTCCCTTTTTGAAGGCAAAGTCTGATGGCTTTATTATTTGTTTGCACTTCTATTCGTTGCAACTCTTTTTCTATGCAAACTTTTAAACCCTGGTAGGTTCCTATTAGCTTTGCTTCCAAACTTGTTGCCATTACAATATATTTGCTTCAGCTGAAATGAAAATCCCTTGTTCACCCCTCAAGACATATCCTCATCCGGCTTCTCCTGGATGTCCCAATGCGGATCCATCTGTATTTAGAATTAAATCTCCTGGATCAGGTGGCTTTCATTTTACAATCTTTATTTTCTTCCTTGGCGGTTTTAGCACTTGCACTTTGAAAAGGTTCTCCACTTCTTGATGCTCCGGTAGAGTTTTTGCTTGGATTTTATGAACACTCAACATATGAGAGATATTAATAGCAGTACTTTTAATCAAAAAAATCAGAGGAAAATAATGCACCGTCATAAATCATTTTATTTCGGAGTTTCCATATTTCCCATAGCAAAAAGAGGGGTGTAACCATTATGATTGATTTTTTTGGCCGTTGTGTAACTTCCTGTTGATTGCTATGATTGAAGGAGACTCCACCATCCTGTATTATTGTGAGAAATAACCCCCAAAATTGCAACAAAATGGTGCCATATTTGAGCGATTGTGGGCAGCTATAAATAATATGATAAATATTCTCCTCCGCGACTTGACAAAAAGGACATTTGGATGGATTCAACACCAAGTTCATTTTGAATACCTCTGGAAAAGGGAGCAAACGATTATAATCTTCCAAATGAAAAATGAAACTTTTAAAGGAACGATTTTATTCCAAAAATTGCATAGGATAGGAAAAGCTTCTTTGGTTTTTCGTGTTTCTTTGTAGGCAGAAGCTACCATGAATTCTCCGGTCAAAGAAGGTGTCAACACAAGCCGATCTGTTTCATCCGTAAACTCCAATTCCAAGGCGCGCAACTTCATAACATCTTCAGGCTGAATTAAGCCATCAAAAACCTGCAAGAAAAAACCTTTTGATTGGAAGAAATCTTGGACAGTTAGGGTTGAGCTGGTAGAACATTTTCTTCTTTCTAGATTGCTCTTGATATGATAACCATCTGTCGAATCAAAAGGACGATGAGCCATTTCTTATTTCTACTTTTGATCTCGGCAAAGCTAGGTGATTAACCCTCTAAGCTCTTGTCCAACATGTCTTTTCCTTCGAAGTTTTTGATAATGACACAACAAATCTCGCCCAAATTCCAGTGAGAGAGTAAATCTTTCACCAAAGCTTCAATGAGGAAGCTTGTATGACTTCACAAAGGCTACGAATATTAAGGCCGTTTTCCTCTGCCGGCGCCACAGTGCCGTCACATTGACCCATGCTCGGCAGTGTTTTTTATTACCTTCCTCATTCTCTCCCCACAAAAAAGAAAAATTGACATTTTCGCTCGAGGGCTGAGATAATCGTCTTTGGAGGCTCAATTGCGGCAATAGTATGGATTGGGAGGGCTGAGAGTACATGCTGAATAAGAATCAACTTGCCCCCTTGAGATAAGAATTTGCTCTTCCAGTTCAATAATTTTGCATCAAAAGCATCCAACAAATGCTGGAAATAGTCAATTTTCTTCCTCCCTTTAAAAAGTTACATCCCAAGTAAGTGAAAGGAAAGGTCCCTTGTAGCATTTGGAGGGTTTGATTCACCAGCTGAACATGCTCCATTGTGCTTTTTTCCAATGTATAGAAGCAACTTTTTTGCTTATTCATCTTCTGCCCGATGACCACTTCACAGTCTTGGAAAAAAGAAATCAAATGCTGCATAGAGTGCTTCAGTCCCTTTGTGAAAATAATGAGATCGTCCGCAAAACATAAGTATGACGGTATCACCGCTCCTGTAGGCACTCCATATGATGCAATCTTCCCTTATGCGGTTAGTTTTTTCAAGTTACCAGTAAGTGCTTCAGAAAGCAAGATGAACAAGTAAGGTGATAAAGGATCACCTTGTTTTATTCCTCTAGACGCCTGAAAAAAGCCAATTGGACTTCCGTTAAAGAGTATAGAGAACCAGCTTCGTTCCAAATTAGAGATCACCAAGGCCACAAATTGTTCCTGAAATCCGAACTTGAGTAAAAGACGTAAGAAGCTCCATGAAACTCTTATTTAGAAAGCTATGTTGTATATTAATCTTGTGTTTTTGGGTTATGAGTTATGTTTAGTTGCTAAACACACCGTTTAAGAAATATAAAACTGATTTATTTATGTTTTAGAAATATGAATTTAAGTCTTGAAGGTAATAGCAGGGAAGGAATAATTTTAATAATAATCTTTTCTTGTTGATTAGAAAATTCATATTTGAATTTTTTCTTTGGGAGGCCCTGTTCTCATGTTTCTGGTTTTTGTCTTACCAAAGCACTACCTGGTATGTAATTCTGACTTTTTAGGGCTTGTCAAATGGTTAGGACGATCTCTGAAAATTTTTCTCAAAACAGGGTATGTTTACCGAACTATTTCCTAATTTTCTTTGATAAAGCTCTAAGTGTCTGTCATAGTTTACAGTGGTCTTGATGCCTTGCAAACGAATACAATTTGATTAAAAAAGAAAAAAAAAACATGATTTGAACATGTCAACTTTATGACCCTTTTACTGAAAAATTCATAACCCATGATTGGAAAGGCTAACTTTGAACCGTCGTTTCTCCTTGACTTTATGGTCTCTTTTGTCATGTATTATGTTGTTTTCAAGTAAAGTAATAGCTATTGGTGTGGCTGGTTGAAATTCAGGTGATATTGATCATTCTTAAAGATTGAGTTTCGATGTTCGTTTGCTACCTAGTTTCATCAGGGATTAATGGGTTATGAAGTCGGCTGTTTTCTTGACCATGATATTTCTGTTTCGGGTACAAAAGAGTGGCTTTTCTGGACACTAATGTTGGGCAGACAGAGTTTACTCCTCCTGGTCTTTCTATTAGCATGTCTTTGAAATGGTGCCCCTATTGTTAGAAAAAGATGCATCACAATTAATTTATTTATGAGATTCATTTTTTTCGTTGATTTGAT